TCACACAGAGTGAACGCAGTTAAGCCTGCTAAGCACTTTACACACATTACCTAATTTAACCCTTATAGCAACTCTGTAAGATAGGTTTGCTGTTATCCCCATCTTATACATGAGGAAATTGAGGCACAGAGACATTCAGTAACCTACCCAAGGCCACAGAGGTAGGAAGTGGTGGTGGGGTCAAGAGTCCAGTCCAGTGCTCTGACTCTGGGCTCCCTGCTCTTAGATTCTTCATCATCATTTCATAACAGCCAGCACCCTGGACCGGGAGTGACCCAGCTCTCATCCTCAGCTCTGTCTCTCCTGTTGCTCTTAATCCCCTCCCTCCTGTTATGGTCAGTCTACCAAGCCCCTGAACTTTCCTGCTCCCATTTCCAAACAGCAGCTTTTTCAAGGGAATGGGAGGGGAGAAGGACTCAGCCTCTTGGGGACATTGGGTTCACCCCCACCATGGGCTCCACACCAGTCCCTGGGATGGGAGATAGTAGGCCAAGGAAGGGGCACCTCGGACCCAGGCAGCCTTCTGTAGAGGCGTTCTGGGCTGAGGGTGGCAACTTTCTGTAGCAGGAGCTGCAAACGTGCAGATTGTGCAGAGAGCCCAGGGGTGGGAGAGCCCCCGGAATAAGAGGTGAGCGTGGGCTGGGTGTGTGGGGAAGGTGTAAACACAATCTGCTCCCACCAAAGCCAGCCTGCTCTCCGAGGGAGAGAGCCCCTCCCTCCCAGCCCACATGGCACCCCAGCTGCCAGCGCCCAGCAGCCTCCAAGCCTGGGCAGACACATCCCCCCGTCACCAGCAGCCCCTTCCTCTTGCTCTCCCTCCCTTCACCGGGAATGGATCCTTGGAGGAGCCACCATCTCCTGAGTAGGTTCTTAGAACAGTGCTGCAAAGGGGTGTCACTTTGTGGATGTGTGTCTGGGCTGTGAGCCAGCCCCAGTACAGCTAGGTGACCTTGGCCTGACTATTCCTCAGACCAGTGGAAGGAGACAGGCAACTTGGAAATGGCAGAGAGCAGAGGCAAGGATGAAGTGACAGGAACATGGCAAATAGATTAGAGAATGAATGCAAAGATAGGATCAGGGGACAGAGACTGGGTCTCGGGAACAGTGCCCTCTGGCCCTCAGCCTGACAGTCCTGTCACCACGAAGGCCCACGCCTCCCGGGAGAAAGACAGACTGACGGGAGCTGAGACAGGTGGTCACAAACTCATGGCCCATGTCAAGTAGGCAATGGGGCTTGGACATGGTTCCAGCACAGAGCTCCTTCCCCTGGTGCGACCCTTCCCCTGCCTCCGCCCTGCGCTACTTTGAGAGGCTCCCACGGAACTGCCAGGCTCCCTGCGGGATCAGCAGCCCCTCCCCATGGCTTCAGAGTGGGTTCCCTCGATCTGCATCTCACCCTTTCCTTCCTTCCCTCAGGCGTGGAGTGGTGGCTGAGGTGCTGCTGTCTAGAGAATTCCTCCATCTCCTGCTTCCTGAAAGTCAGGGGCAGGGGCCAGCCAGGCAGACACCTCGCCGCTGAGTGGGTAGAGCGGGCTGGAAGGGGAGGAGAGATGCACGCGCATGTGGGGATGCGGGCTCTGGAAGATGAATGACTGTGAGACAGTCAGGAGCAGCTGCCTGCAGGGTCTGCGCCTGGATCTCAGGGAGCAGAAGCGGAAATCTGCTTTTATCTCTGCTCAGGATCGGGCAGGATTGTAAAGAGAGAGAAATGGCAGAGCAGCTGGGGGCAAAAGAGGCTGCGCCGCCACCGCCACCGTTACTGAGCAGTCAGCAGACTGACAAAAACAAGCGTCATGCTTTTTCCCTTCCCACATGCTACTGCCTATTTGGAACACACGCACGCACGCACATACACACAGAAAACACAGGACAAGCTGTGGGTTGCTTCCATCCAGCCACAGGCAGACATGTCACAGATCCAACTGGCATTTCTTATTGATAATTTCAGCAGAGCAGCCAGTGACAGAGTGAGCTCTGGGGACGAGGGTGGGGGAGGCAGATGCCACAGGAAGTGTGTGCCAGCATGGCAAGCGGTCTGACTCCACACTGCCCGGACCACAGCTGAGGTTTAACAGTACAGCTCCTGAGCTGTCAGAGACAGGCGGCCAAGCCAGTGAAACCCCTTCTCTCACCTGCAAACTTCCAGGTGGTTTCAGGGCAAGAACAAGGGCTCTGCAGCCTCCATATGAGCCTGGGGTCCCCCACTTACTAGCTAGGTGACGCTGGGCAAGTTAGTTAACCTCTGTCTCTGTTTCTCCTTTCTAAAATGTGGGTAATATGCCCCGTCTGTGGGGTTATTGTGAGGATTAAATTAGAGAATGAATGGGAAGTCCCTCCTTAGTCAACATGAGCTGCCCCTCGATTCTGGAGTCCCCTCACCCGGGTTTGTTCCTACCCTAGCCTGGCTGATGGGCTGCCCCAGAGTTAACCAGGTGCACCCCACCGAGTCCCTCTCTCTGGGCCTGCCTCAGATGAGCCTCAGGAACTCAGAGGATGGCAGCCCATCCCAGAGCAATGAGCATCTCTGCCCCTCCTGGCCAGGCCTTGCCTCAGGAGCCCCACAGCCAGGGCTTGGGGAGAAGTGAGAACTGGCAGATCCAGGGGCTAAGGTTAGGAATATAACTTCTCGATTGCTGCTTTTCCCATTCTCCCTCTTGCTGCTGCCTCTTCCACCACAGCATCTTTCTGGGATAGGGGGAAAACTAGTACTTGAGCTGAAACAGAAAACCAGACCAGATCGGCACTTTCTCCCATGCCAAGGTAGGGGCTGGTATTGCAGAGTGGACATTCCAGAACACCACCTCTCCTTTGGAAGTCTTCTAGCACTGCCTCGGGCCCCCAGAATGACCACCACTTCATCCCCAAGTCTAGAAAATGCTATAAAGATCACACGTGGTGCTCCTAAAACTCACCCTGGCCCCGAGGCCTGGAACAGAACAGGCTCAAGGCAGGAGCTCATGGAAGGAGTCCACCTCCCTCTCCTAACCTCTGTCCATGACCACAGAGCTGAAGACAGCCTGCTTTGCTCCCACGTGGCCAGGCGTTGCATATTCTTCCTTCTTTGTCCCCAGCCCTGCCCTCTGCCCTCCAGGGCTCACGGCCTGGCCCTACCTGCCTTGGCAAGCTGATTCCCGTCTTTGGGCTGAGCTCCGCCTGAAGAGGTGACGGCTTATTTCAGAGTCTCTTTCTCCCTAAACAGAGAAATGCACAAGAGTCAGAGGATTGGAGGGGATGACCGTCCTGCATTTCCGGACTTCTTCCTCCCACCCCATGCCTAGCAGTTCACCCCACTACTGACAGGCAGGAACACCCAAGAAACCATACAGTTGGAATTTCTGACTGTGGAATTAGCAGAATTTTCACCCCTACCCCCACCCTGGGCCAGCCTTCCGTGGCGGCCGCCATCAGCAGGAGATGTGAGATGTTAGGCCAGTTCTTTGGGTTAACTGGGTTCCAAGGAGTTAATAGGCATCTGCTTCCTTCTGGCTAGGCCATACCAGGCCAGGCCTGGCCAGATGGTCCCAGATTCGGCCTTTCCTCTCCTGACAGGAGGTCCAGGCCCATTTCACCTAGAGGAGATGGACTGCCTGGAATCAGGGGCCTGTCAGTCCCATAACAGCCACAAACCGGATGGATGACCTTGAGCAAGAAATTTACGTCTCCCTGTCCCTCAGTATCTTCCACCATTAACAAGAGATAGAAACACTTGTCCTGGGGCCAGCCCCATGGCTTAGCGGTTAAGTGCTCTCTTAGCGGTTAAGTGCTTGCAATCCCTACTGGCGGCCGGGTTCTCGTAATCCGCTACTGGTGGCCCGGGTTCGGATCCTGGGCGCGCACCGACACACTGCTTCTCCGGCCATGCTGAGGCAGCGTCCCACACACAGCAACTAGAAGGATATGCAACTATGACATACAACTATCTACTGGGGCTTTGGGGAGAAACAGGGAAAAAAAGGAGGAGGATTGGCAATAGATGTTAGCTCAGGGCCGGTCTTCCTCAGCAAAATGAGGAGGATTGGCGTGGATGTTAGCTCAGGGCTGATCTTCCTCACAAAAAAAACAAAGAAACACTTATCCTGCCAACCTTCTGAGGCTATTGAGACTTCCCAGTGAGTTAATATATGAGAAACATCTGGGGGTGAATAAAGACTGATCATGTGTCAGATTCCAACGGGAGAAGAACTCGCCTGCACTGAGCAGTTGCTCTGTGCCCAGTGCTTACAACCATTCTCTCATTTAAACCTCACAGACACCTCACAACCACTCTATTATTAATCCCAGTTTAATACAAGTAAATAGATTATATGATTTGCCCCAAGTCTCTCAGTTAGTAAGAGGGGAGCCAGGATTTAAACACTGGCTGCCCAACTCTAGATCCAAACTCAACAGTGAGGACCAGTGAGCATTTGAGGGCCTCCTCTGTGGGAGGCCTAGTGATGATCATTTTGTATATGCCAGCCCGTTTCACCAATAGTAGTCATTAGGCACTTTTGTGACCATCTCAGCTAGCCTAAATGTGGAGGAAGGGCATGACAGAAATGCCTCTGTTCCCCGCACATGCCCACGGCTTCCCCGTGGGCCTTCTGACATTCGGAACCTGGTGGATCCCAGGACTGAGAAACCAGGGGCCAAGACACAGAGAAAGCCTCAGCTTCTCTCAGCTCGCCAGTCTCCACATAGCTAAGGGCCATATCGCAGGCAGGTTCCACACCCTGAAAGAGACATGGGAGTGCACGGGCATGCATGCATGCTGACTGTCTCAGCCTTCTGAGCCCGGAGACACCCTCCTTCCAGGGGCCCTGCAGCCCGAGGGTGTCACACTCTGTTTCACTAGGAGCGAGAGAAGCAGTGCCAGGGGACTAGTAGACGCTCCCACAGGAGAGAATGTCACTCTTCAGATAGGGCTCCCGCACTAGGTGGGTCCGTAGGCACAAAAGAACATTTCAAACAGTATGTTCTTAATAAATATTTGTTGATTTTTCAGTGTTTTTTGAGGCATAAGAGCCCCTATCGTCAAAGGACACTGGTCATCCAGGGAAAGAAAAGTCTGGAAGTTCCCAAAACTTCACCCCTTGTAAAGGCCACATGGCTTCAGCCTAGGGAAGAGTTAACTTTCTGGCTGCTGGAGACAGTGTCCTGCCCCAGGGGCTGCCCAGCCAATGGCGCTCAGAGCCGATGATGTCATGCTCCTCCTGCGCCTCCTATTGGGGACTGGACAGCGAATCCCGCTGGAGGCTCAGGCAGTGGAGCCGCTGAGGCTGGGCGGAGACAGCGGGAGAGGGACGGGGGAGGGAAGGCGAGCAAAGCAACGCTGAGCTGCGTCTGCCTCATCCCTCTCTCCACTGCCCCTGCACCTTCTGACAGAAGGAACCTTGGGGACCACCCTGCACCCAGACAAGCAAAGCAGAGCAGCTTTGGTCCAGAGAAGCTGGGGGCTCCCATTCCCAACTGGAGAACACAGTCAGCCTGCCCACCAGGCATACAGGGAACAGGGTGGCTGGGGCGAGGGCTAGCATACAGCACACACACACACCCCTGCTCATCACGGACAGGGCCAGGGGACAGCGGCAGCCTCTTTGGTAGCACCCTCCCTCCTCCACCCCAGACTCGCCTCTGCCTTACCTGCCTGAGGACTGGAGGTCTCTTTCCAAGCTGCTGCCCGTAACTGCCTCATCCACTCCACTGGGCTCTCTGTGGGAGGGAAGAACAGGCAGGAAGAACTGTGGGCAGTGCCCAGACCCCAAATCCCCTCTCCTGCTTTTTGGCAAGACCTAGCCACATTGGGCTATGGGACTGGAGACTGCAGCCAGTGTCTTTGAAGAGCTCCAAGTTCCCCCTACTCTGTGGGGGAGCCCCTCAGGGATTCCTTGCAAATCCCTCCCAGCCTCCCTGGAGGTCCAGACAGCGCCTGCCCACCTTCAGCTCTGCTGTAGCCCAGCCTAGTAGTTCTCCCCCAACCCCAGCCCATGGCCTAGTCAGTTTCTCACGGTTGGACCCGGTTGGCGAATCTGCGGCGCCAGAGCATGGCCAAGGTGCTAAGCAGGAAGAGGGTGGTGCACATGGCTCAGCTGCCCCATCCCCTCCCAGACCAAGTCTGCAGAAGAAGGCCAAAATGGCCCCTGCCAGCTCTCCCAAGCCACTACTGTGTGTCCTGAGGTTCCTGCTGGCAGTGGATTAGGAGGCTCAAGCTGATTAGTGGGGTCAGCAGACCTGACCTTGTGAAGACTGATTAACCTCACTGGGCCCAGGTTGTCCTCCTCTGCGGCAGGGTAAATCAACCTCAGTCTATTCTGGATGTAGATACGGCTAAGACCTGAGCCTGGCCCTTAGGGGGCTTATAGTCTAGACAAGTGCACTGGCAAGTTAAAGGGATGACCACAATAGAGTGACTGAGGCAATTAAAGGCACCTGCAGAGCACTTTGGGCATTGCAAGCATCAGCGGAACCTTCAAAGAGGAGCTGGGGGCATCTGAATTTGCAGCTGCTCAAAGGAGGCTGGGTGGTCAGACAGAAGACTCTGCCAGGGCTGCAGACAGCAGGGCATGTTCCAGCAACTGGAAGTTGAGTGGCAGCAGAGCAATGATGTCACAGGAGGCATGGGGGTTGGGGAGGAGGACAGGGGAAGAATATTAGATGATGAAGCCAGAAAGACAAGGGAGGCCAGGGAGTAAAAGGATGGCTAAGTTCAGATCTATACTCTGGACATTTCTCTCCAAATGTTTCTGATTACACACCCTCTTCAGTAAAAGTCACTCATGAAATAGATATATGCATCCACTTGTAAATATGTACTGTACTAATGTGAAAATACAGTCCTGCACCATAGACATACATAAACCTGGTAAAGGATGAGATGAAAGTAAATAGAAATAAGATTTCTGCTACTTTCCACATCCCAGTGGAACCTCTTGGGCAGCCATTTGGAAGGCCACTGCACTGGCTTTGGGAAACTATCAGAGGAGTTTTGTGAAGTGGCCCAGCACGGTGTGTTCAGTCTTGGCCCAGGCGGCAATAGCAGCCGGGGACAAGCATGAGGACATGGGTCTGAGAGTGATGTAAGAAACTGAACCCACCCACTGTCCTCCATGCCCCCTCAAGACTCCCAGAAGAAGGCATTAGATTTTCCTGCCCTCAGCTAAGATGGAGGCAGTGTCAAGAGGCCTCCTGCCCAGGATTCCAGTAAGGAACCTGAACCCGGAGCTCCAGGGAGGGCCTGCGCTGGGGCTCTCTACTTTGAAATGTGATTTTTAAAATAAACACATAAACCAAAGCTGAAGAGGAGGGCCAACCTCTTGGAGAACTTGAGCAGAGGGACACAAAGTCTTGAGAAGGGCAGGGTCACCAGGGAGCCTTAGTGAGAACTGGACACACCCACATGTTCCAGATGCTGCAGCCCTGGTCCGGCATCAGGCTTCACTGGGAGGCAGAGGTGGCACTGGGCTTTCCCAGTACCGCGCAGCTGCTTGCAGAGCGGGAACCCTGTGGCTCTCAGAAGCATAGTCCCCACCTCTGGTCCTATCCCGCTGACACCTCTCTGAGCAGGGCCACTAGGACAAGAATTTGTCTCCTCCATCCCCAGAACCCCTCCCTAATCGGGGCCTTGGTGATTGAGATGTCTCCAGCGGCCTGGGCCTCCCCCAGACTTCTTGACCCTCCCAGGTCCGCTTTGCCCTGCCCGGCTGCCTCCTTTGGACTCTGCTTCACCAGGGCCAGAATTTCGGGGCAGCGCCTGTTTTTTGCCTGCCCGTGTCGTTAATAAGCCACCCGGGGACTTCTTTCCGACGCCATGTGCGTGCACCGAGCGGGAAGGGGTGCTGGCCGGAAGGAAAGGGGGGCGCAGGCCTCTGGCGCTCAAGTTCGACTCTCCCATCCTCTCAGCGGTGGGTTCTAGTAAGGTACTGGAACAGGGACACTCCAGGAGAGAGACGACCCCAGTCCTAAACTCTCCAGAGCCTGGGGTCCAGAACTCTGGGAGCGGCGCCGCGGCCCCCAGCGGCTGGCTCCGGGGAGACGGAGAGCGAGCGGGAGCTCCGCTCGGACCGCGGCGCCGCTGGAGGGGCTCGCGGCCGCCCCCTCGGGCGGGCGGCCACGCCGCAGATGCCTGGGAGTGTTTGACTTTGAGTCAGTTCCCCGCCGCGTGAAGGGTGCACACACGCACACGCCCCGACACTGGCCGCAGCGTGAGCCTGGACACGGTGCCCCCAGATTCGCACCCGCCGGGGCGCACTCCTGTGCGGCCCGCGCCGCCCCGCCCCGCGTGACAGCCCCCTCCTCCCGAGACCCCCCAGGACACCCGCCACACCTACTCCCCAGCCCCGCCCGGCGCTCAAACTCCGCGGTGGCCTTGCGGGTGGGCGGGCGCCAGCCGCGTCGCCCCCACCCCGCCCAGTCTTCACCTTGCCAGAATTGGCTCACGGACGCGGGGTTGGGGGTTTGGAGCGGATTTATTTTTTTTAACATTTTTCCAGCAGACCACATCCCCGCCCCCCGCTCGCGGTCCCCCGCCCCCCGGCACATATACCCTGCACGCACACACACACACACACACACACACACACACACACACCCGGCGCGCACAGACACGCTCCCTCCCTCCGGCGCGCTCTACCCCTCACTCGCCCGCCCGCCCGCCGCGCACGCAGCCGGCCCCGGCTCCTCGCGCCCCGCGCTCCGCGCCCCGCCGCCGCCGAGCGAAGCCGGGCTGGGCTTGGAGCTGCTCATGGAGAAAGTGCCGGGCGAGATGGAGATTGAGCGCAGGGAGCGGAGCGAGGAGCTGTCCGAGGCGGAGAGGAAGGCGGTGCAGGCTACGTGGGCCCGGCTCTATGCCAACTGCGAGGACGTGGGGGTGGCCATCCTGGTAAGGTAGGTGTCGCCCCGGCTTAGCCGGGCCCGGGGGAGGGAGGGCGGCAGCGGCTCCGGGCAGGGGCGGGCTCGGCCCCATCCGAGCTCCGGCGCCACCTCCTCAGCTGTGATTGGGGCCGGGCTGGCAGGGGTGCAGGCAGCATGGGGCGCCTTGGGGTGGGCGAAACCCTAGCTGAGCCCTTCCTAGCTCTGGGCGCGGGGCTCACCAGGAACTAGGAGCCAGACGCAAAAAGAAGGCACCTCCGTCCCCCTCCTCTCCTCGGCCTTAGAACTCTGAGCTCAGCCAGCCATGCCTTCCCCACCAGCGACCCCAGCCAAGCTGTTATGGACACACATTTTACCAGCCCTTCACATGGGGGCAGTGGGGGTTCCCCATTTTAGAGACAGGAAAACTGAGGCTCAGCCAAGAAGGCGGACAAAGAGGAGCAGACCCCTCTCTCCAGCTCAGCCTCTTTCCGTATTCAAAGCCCCTTGGAAGAACAGAGCAAAGGGGGAGAGAATGGAGGTCAGAAGGAGTAGATGGCTGAGGTCCAGTTTCCCACCTGGCGGCTTCCTGCCCCAAGGGGGTGGACCAGCAGGGTGCTCCCAGGCTGGGCACAGGTGAGTGGAGAAGCAAACAGTCCCTAGGATACAATCCGTGCTGAGTTTGGTGGAGGGAAAGGGAGATGCTTCAGGAGACAGGGCTCCACCCTGAAAGCCCCACCTGGAGACGAAAGGCCATGTGTCTTGGGCTCAGGGGTCATTCAGGCACCAGATGCCCCCAAGAGACGCACACACAGACACATTGTTATTCACACCTGCACACTGGTGCACGTATACCATTCCTATGTAGTTAATGTCACCAAGCCCCACAAGCTAGTAGCTGACTAGAGCTACAGATCCATGCTGTCTTCCCACACGTGCTGGTCCCTGGGGGTGCAGGCAGAGAGGCCCCAGACCACACTCACTCTCAACCCCTTGTCCTTGGTGGAGGGAAGCTGTCAAATCTAGGACAGAGCAGGGCAATCTTACTATCTGAAGACAGGGTGAAACCTCGCTTGTGGAAAGGACAGCTGAAGTGCATGCGTGTCTCCCAGGCCTGGCCCATCTCTGGCTCCTCTTTCTCCCCCGTACTCTCTCTCCCTTTTACCCAGCTCCATGTTGATATGCCCTGATTCTAACTTAGAAACAGATTTTGGAGGAAAAAGAGCAAGAAGCAGTCTTGAGGATTTTGAGGAGGATTCCTGAGGAAGGGGCAGCTATTTCCACAGCTCCCAGGCCCAGAAACACAGCCAGGGATGATGGGGAAGCTAAGAGGGGATTTCAGATCCCGAAGCCATCAGACATTCGGAGACGCAGATCTGCACGTGCGAGCACCCACACAAGCTCACGGTGGGTAGTGGAGTCACGGATGCGCCAGACTGCATCCCTGGAGGGCTGTTCTCAGCTGTGTGTCGGCACACACGGGCCCACCAGGCCTCGGGATACACCAGGGTGCACACACAGGTCGCCAAGAGGAAATGAAGCAGAGTCCACAGACCTGGGAGATTTTCCGTCCCAACCCCTGTCGTTTGCCAATGAGGACGTGTAGGGGATGTGTCCAAGATCCAGCTCCTGGGGCACCCCCCAACCTCCCCAGGAATGGGGGTTACAAAGGAAGGACCTGAACACCGAGGGCAGAGCCATTTCTGGAGAGTCTGAGCTTTCGGCAGGTTTTCCTTCTCTCTCTGTGCCCCTCTGGCTCCCCTTTCCTGACTCTTAGAAGGGGCTGGGTGTGGGCTGGGGGAGGCATTGGGCCTGAGATAGCAATTAGATCTGGCCTGCTGATAACCTCACACTTCACCTGACCCCACCTCTGTGTTGGCCGAGCCCAGCCCAGCCCAGCGGGGGAGAACCCGGCCCACAGCTGCTTCTCCCCGCCAGCCCCAAGTCCCAACAGCCTTCCTTTCCTCTTTCTCCTCCTCCTGCTGTCTGTCCCAGGACCTGGCCAGTTGGGATGAGGGGTGTTAAAGCAGGGGTAAGGGAAGGACAGATAAGCTTCTCAGGTCCTCTGCCCCTCAGTTTTGTCACGACTCCCTCCTGTCCTCACACACATCCACAAGGACAGGCCTGAGACACAAGCCCTCTGACTCTTACCTCCTCCCTCCCCGCTGGGCTCATGCCAGCCTCACCCCCCGCCCCCCACACACACACACACACAGTGAGGAGTTAGCAGCCACAACGGTGGTGGTGCTGGTGGAGGAGCTGCCTCTGGGTCTGAGCCAGACCCCACACCTCTACTTCCTGCCAGGGAGGAGACCGAGAGGGAACACCCATGCTGGAGGAAGGCTCCCTTCCCAGTTGTAACTCTGCCGCCTTCCCCCTCACACTCAGACAGGCCTATTTCAGACTCTCCTGGAAGCCCACATGCCTCTGGGAGCTTAGGAACTCCAGGGCTGGCTGCTGAGGCTTCTCCCTGGCAGCACAGGCCTGGCCTGGGAGGGTCAGGAGTCAACATGGAGGGGCTGGGAGAGAAGCCAGGATGAAAGAGCAGAGCACATGGCCCCTAGACTCCCCTGGTCCAGAAGAGGGGCTTCCTGGCCCTGTCATTCCTCAGCACCATGACCCGGCACTGGTGTTGGGGCAGGAGACTCACTGGCGGGAAGCCGGCAGAGCAAGGACGGTCTGGGCTCCTTCCTGGCCCCACCACCTACTGTGCTAGGCAACCTTGGGCATCGACTTCTAATCCAGAATGCAGAGATAAAGCAGTGCCAACCTTAGGAGAGTATTGTGAGGATGAATGAGATCACATACTAAGTGCTCAGTAAGTATTCCCAGTTCTTCCCTCACCAGTACAATGGATATAGTACCTGCTTAGTCGTGGCAATTACATGAAATAACAGGTAGAGATGCTCTGCGCATTTTAACACACCAGGCAAGTAGAAATCAGTATTTTTACTGCAGTGTAAAACCCCTGAAGTCTGAGATCCTCATTTAAGTCCAGATTGGGTTTCTCACATTTGTCCTTCATTACAGTGCTTCTCCAGAAAATCCAGTGTATTTTCAGACTCATCACCTCATTTGTCCTCACCAGTATACCTGTGAAATAGCGAGCGGGAGGGACTTCTCTCGCACTTCAGCAGACAGGAGGCTGTGAAGTGGTTTGCAGAGGAGGTCACACTGGGCCTCCTAGAGGGGCCCTCCCGGGTCTCCACATGCACTGTGTCTTGGTCGCACCCCCCTGCCAGCAACAGCTTCATCACCCAAAGGGATGGCCTGGGCCAGATGCTCTTTCTGCATCTGTTCCAGCTCTCAGATCTGAGACTCGAACGCTGGCCAAGGGGCTGTTTTGGCAAATTATCAGCTCTCTCTGGTATCACAAAGGGGGTCACTCCAAAGGTGTGAAACAACCTGAAAAAACAGGTCCAAGACACTTCATACATTTTCTGAGGCTTCAGTTAAGTTCGGTAAGTTCTGATTGAGTCTGTGTGGACCTCCCGTGACATCCAGCCCCTGCTGGGAGAGGGAGTGCAAATGTCATCAACGTCATCCTGCAGACTGCAGGGCCCTGGGCCAGGGTGATGGGTCAGAGGGTGCGGGGGCTCTGCTGGGTCTCACAACCAGTCCGACAGGCAGAAGGGGAGGAAGCAGTAAATGGTGGCAGGGAACCCACTAACGGCCTTCGAGGGAAAGCAGTAGCCCTGGGCCAGCTTGGGCGCTCAGAGAGAGGCAAGGCTGACATGGGGAAGAGTGAGGAAGGCATTCCACCATGTGGAAGGGAAGGCTGGCACGCCCGAGGAATGTTTTGCCAATGGTGAGTGAGGCTGTTGTGCTGGAGCGAGATGGGTTGAGTGTAGGGGAGAGTGTGGACCTGAGGTTGGAGAAGTGGGTGTGGGACAGTTTGTAAGAGGCCTGGACTCCCAGGTTCAGGAGTTTTGACTTTGACGTAGACAATGGGGAGCCCCTGAATGTTCGTGAGAGAGTGACCTAATGAAAGTGATATTTTGGGGGAATTAGACAGTTTCAGATAAACTGGAGAGGGGAGGAGTAGAGCTAGAAAGACCAGGGTCTGCCCCAAGACGTGCACAGACTTGTTCAAGAGGTGAGATATACGGCAGGTAAAATCAATCGAGATCTTTAATTAAATGAACCACTCCATAGTTGCTGCGGGCTGAGGAGGGAAGCAGGGTAGTGAAGAGGGAAGAGACTGAGCTGGGAGAAGGACTGAGGCTCATTTCTTCCCTTCCTTGGCTGGGTGACCGTTACTTTGTTTCTAAAGAGAGCTCTAACTGTATCATAATAAAGGGCGGCATTTACTGAGCCGGCATGTCCACACTGTGCTGAGACCTCCACGTGCAGTTTTTCATTTACTCCTTGCAACAAGCCACAACGACTCACAACAAGATAGGAACAATGATGCCATTTCATGGATGAGGAAACTGAGGCTCAGAAAAGTTAAATAACTTGCCCAAGGTCACACACCGCCACGCCCCGACCCCGTGATTCCAGAACTGAAGCTCTTACCCTCTGGGCTGTGACTGGAGCAGGGCTTGAAGGGTGTGTCCGGCTTGGAAAGGAGGCAAGAAGCAAGGAAGGCAGAGGCCTGGGAGACAAAGCTGCCAGCCTGAGCAAGTCTGGCGGATAGAAAGGGCTGGGACTTGGGGAGGGGGCTGTTGTAAGCCAGCTTGGCCAGAAGGAGGGTCTGCATTTGAGGGACAGTTACACAAGGTGGTGAAAACAATTATTGGGTTGTGGGGGTGGGGCTGGGTCCTGCCTCTCCCACCTCTGAACCCCCTATCGTCCTGGCCACTTCAGGGTGGGGCCCAAGGCAGCCCCCTGCTTCAGCTCCGCTGCCTCCCTCCTGCCAGGTTCTTTGTGAACTTCCCATCGGCCAAGCAGTACTTCAGCCAGTTCAAGCACATGGAGGAGCCCCTGGAAATGGAGCGGAGCCCCCAGCTGCGGAAGCACGCCTGCCGGGTCATGGGGGCCCTCAACACTGTCGTGGAGAACCTGCACGACCCCGAGAAGGTGTCCTCTGTGCTCGCCCTCGTGGGCAAAGCCCACGCCCTCAAGCACAAGGTGGAGCCCGTGTACTTCAAGGTATGTCACCGGTGGGTGCCGCCACCTCACCACCCACACACTCCGCTCCAGAGCCCCCCAGCCCACGTACCACAGCCACCTGCAGCCTTCAGCCTCTGTTAGAGCTTCCCAGGGCAGCAGAGGTGACCACTGGGCCACCCAGCCTCTTCCCCTGGCGTGGCTGTGACGGGGACAGGCAGCAGGATGGGGAGGCTGGGTCCAGGGCAGCCCTTGTCTTAAGGGTGTGTGGTTCCCACAGCTGCCAGGCTGTTGTGTCATGAAGGATCCCTTCAGCCAAACACCAGACAGAAGGGATGCTGGGGACTGTGGAGGGCAGGGCACCCAGGCGTTTACTCCCCCTTCCTCCTTCTGCCTCCAGATCCTCTCTGGGGTCATTCTGGAGGTGATCGCCGAGGAATTTGCCAATGACTTCCCAGCCGAGACGCAGAGAGCCTGGGCCAAGCTTCGTGGCCTCATCTACAGCCACGTGACAGCTGCCTACAAGGAAGTGGGCTGGGTACAGCAGGTCCCCAACACCACCATGTGAGGAGGGGTGAGGGTGGGCCGGGCAGCTTCTTGCCGTGTCCTCCCCTGTCCTGGTCTGCCATCTCTCCCAGGGCCCAGGGGCTGACCGCCAGGGCAGGAACACTTCCAGGAGGCTGAGTCTGGGGTCTGACATTTAAGAACAGGCACCATAGGAAAAGGCCTTCTCTTGCCCAGGGGCCCCCACTCCCATCCACACAGAGATGTGAGCCCAAAACAAATTCTCCTGGGGCAGAGCCATCCCCTTCCCTAGAACAAGGGAGTACTCAGAGCACCCCAAGACCGTGGCTGCCCCGGGCAGAGAGGCGCCAAAGCTTCCTGACGGGAAGGCTGGTTCATCGGGCCCAGAGGCAGCCCAGGCCAGCTCCGGCCACTTCCTCCCTGGGTATCAATCACATGGGGCTGTTTTTCATCTAATGCTGACTAGTACTGCCTCCCGCCTCTGCCTCAACCAGGCTGGAGCCAGGAGAATCACAAGGACATGTGCACATGCATACACATGCCCAAGCCCACACGGGGTCTGTGGGGGTGTCCCTCTCACGCACACCAGTAGGGGGGGTTTACTTCTGGGCTGACCCTGGAGGCCGGGTTCCCAGTTCTGGAGTGAGGGCCTGGGAGATGGGCTCGAGGAGGGTGGCCGGCCTCAGTGACTCCAGCTGACTGGGAGCATGAGGGGAGGGCTGGCCCCCAGACGTGGCGGCTGGGAACGCTCCGGCCTCCCTGGGCCCCCAAGGGGCGGCTGGCTCTGGGAGCTCAATGGAGGGGGAGGCAGGGCTGGAGTAGGAAGGAGAGAAAGGAGCAGAGGCGGGAATGGGAAGCAGAGGTCAGCCAGCGGCTCAGGACACGCGTTTGTAGAGAAACATTCCCAGCAGTTTCCCATGGAAAAGGCGGGTCTCCTTCCCGGGCTCCCAGCTGGCCCACGGAGCCTGCTGGACCGCCTGCTCACAGGCCTCGGAGCAGCTCTGCAGAGGAGGTCCCCCGAGGGCAGCCCTGGGAGGCCAGGCCTCCTGACCTTCCTGCCGCTGACCACACTGGGCCCGGCTTGCTCCTGCTCCCTTCCCCCGCATCGGCACCACCCCAGGAGAGCGGAGTCCCAGGAACTGCTGGCTGCAGCCAGGCGCAACTCCAGATGTGCACAGCTGGGCCCTGACCTGCCTCAGACCCCGGTGGATGGGAAGCAGGCAGGAGATTTTTACCTGCCGGAGAAGGTGCTGGCAGAGCCAGGATAGCTGCCGGAAGCAGTGAGAGGGGCCAGGGAGGGGTCAGTGGGGGGAAGGGGGCTCGCCCTCCCACGCCTCTCCCCAGGCAGGCTCTGCGGCCAAAGATGAGTTTGTTTACAGCCAGGAGACAAGACTTCCTGCTTCTAGAGAAAAGGGCTTTTTTTACAGGGGCCTACAGGGACTGGAGAGAGAGAGAGCTGGCCAGCACAAGCCCCAGTGAATCAGAAACACATGGACAACGTTTCCCGACACCAAGCCCCATCCCCTCCCCTCTCTTGTCCCAGCTGGACCCCTGGGACTTAAATCTCGGCAAACCCCAAACATTAGGAAACCGAGGAAATCTCTTCATCTGCCCATTTCTGCTCCTTGTGCACTGAATGGAGATGGGCGACAGCAGGGACTGCCCAGGGCCTTACTCCCACCTGGGCCTGGACGCCTCACTTTTGGGTTACCCCCCAGCTGTGAAGTCGTGGGGATTGTCCCCTCATCCCTTTGCACACTCTCCCCCACCTCTGGTCCCCTGAGGGCATGGGTGCGGCCCCCAAGAAGGCATGTCTGCCTGGGCCTGGGCCTACAGACCCAACCTACTACCAAGGTCCAGATGGGTTCAGAAGGTGGAGGGAGTTACAGAGCAGAGTTCTAGAAGGCCTCCATCCAACTTCTCTTATCAGGGGAGCAGTGGTGGGCCAGATGCCACTGTTTATTGAACTGTCTCTGCTTAGGGGTGTGTGTGCGATTTTGTGGGTGGGGGGGTTGGGGTGTTGGGAGAGCTGCAGAGAATGTCTGTGGGTGGCCAGAGGGGGTACCCAGACAGGCCAACCAGAGAGTGCACGGGTCTCAGAATTAACAGAAAAAGAGCGCACATTTGCACAGTTCTGTGCATTTGTGAAACACTTTCACACAGTTGATGTCACACGATTCTCACAGAGGTAGGCAAGGCAGAAATTATTCACATTTTAGAGAAAAAGATCTGGGGTTCAGATGGGCCAACTGACTTGCCTGAAGTCACACAGCATGTTCCTAGCAGAAAGGGAATTAGAACTTGGGTCCAGTGGGTTGCTTTCAACTGCTCCACACCGGGTGTCTGGCAGATAGTGTCCTGCCTTGCCTTCCCCTGACCCCTCTCCCCTGCCCCCGCAGGATCCCTGGTCCCTCTCCATGCCCCTTGTAACCTGTTACCTCCATCTCCTATCTCGTCCACAGCCCAGCGGCCACACTGCCCTCTTCGGGGCCATAGGACTCCCTCTCTCCTCCCCACTCCCTGGCAGCACCTTGAGCAGAAGGCCAAGTTCTGAAGACCCTCCTTGAACCTCCATTTCTGGGTGCCAAGGAAGCTGGAGGAATCCCTGACTCGTCTTCCCAGAAAGAGGCTGCCTCTGCCACTGCCACAGTCCCCCTGAAGCTGCCGGGATGTGGCACTGGCTGCCTGGATGCCGACCCCAGCTCTGCGGCGGGTGGCCTGTGGGGTGGCGGACCCTTCCTCCTTGAAGAGCCAGGCCCACTCTTCTTAGCTTTTCTACTCACGGTTAGAGACCTAGCTGCACGGCTGGCAGGAATCGGGACAGGTCTGTGAGTCCCTCCAGGAGTAAACCAGCCCCGTTTCTATCTGCCCAACCAGCATGCAGGTCTCCACACCACCTATCTAGAGTATGACACACACATCTACCATATATACAATATATTCTATATACAATCTATACATAAATACATATATATATATATATACGTACATATCTATAATGTGTGTCTGTGCGGCCCAGAGGCACATGTAAAGCCTCGGTTCTGCCCATTTGTGTGTGGGGCAGTGAGGGGTCCTGATTGTGCTTCTGGGCAGATGACAGAGTGTTCTGGCAGAGATGGGGGTCCCATATCAGCACAGAGAGGATCTGGGCCTGTGGGCAGGGTTGGGGGGACCCAGCTTGCCAGCAAAGCCCAGCCTTTTCTCTCTGACCAGCTCTCCACATTCCTGCTTTCCACTTCCAGGCAAAAAGGATTTGGCTCTCCCCACCTCTACCCCCCACAAAAGGATGTGGTTCCCTGACTTGCCCCAAAATGGGCAAGGGCAGACAGAGGGGGCCAGAAGTTCTGGACAGGATGACTGCGCTGGGGGAGGGACCATGGTAAAGAAACCTCGAATGCCAGCCGCATCTGCCTTTGTCACTAAGACAGCCCCAGTGGGAGGGGGTCCAGGCTGCTCCTCAGCGGGGCAGTGGTAACAGGACCAGATGCCTCCATCTCCTCCTGGAGCTTGAGGGCTGAGGGCCTTCCTTCCCTTGCCCCTCCTGGCTGCTGGCTGGCAGTCGGTCCTGTCCGTCCATCTGGGTCAGCGTTGCCGGGGACCCCCGTGTGTGCCCCTTGGTCACGTGTATCGTCCTCAAGGATGTTTTGCTGCTGTGGCTGCTGTGCCTGTGTCCCCTCCTGTCCCATCTTCGTGCAGCTGTCCGGGTAACTGCCTGTCCTCCTTTTGTAGTTTCTGATGTTTGTAACCAGACCCAGCTGCTGTCATTAAACAGACTCGTTCTTCCTGTTCTGTGCACGCTTGCTTGGTCTTTTCCTGCCACCTGCCCCTCACCTCTGTCTCCCCTGCTTCGTTCAGGGTTGGGATCTTTTCTTGAAAGCCGCCCTGTCAAGGGCCCCCCTCACCTCTGTCTCAGCCTTCTGTTCATGGACCTCTGCGTTGGGGCTTGTGACTGTGGTGGGACCCTCACCTGTTTAATCAGGAGCACAGGGCTGGAGGCTGGAAGCTGGGCTTTGGGTGGCAGGTGGGGTGGCAGGTGGGTGACGGGCAGGAAGGGTGTCTGTGCTTGTTAAAAAATGTCAGGGGGCTTTTAATCTTTTGTTCTGGAAATCTCCTCCCTGGCGAGGATAGAGTAAGTGAGGGAGGAATCAAGGGAGAGATGTTCAGAAAGAAGGGCCCTGCTGGTCTGAGTGGTCTAGTGAGAGAGCCAAGGGTTGGGCCTCGACCTTCTAGACCTGGCACTGGGCGTCCCACACCTGGAGAGCTAAGTGCCCAGCCTGCTCAAGTTATGCATGGTGGCTCAGCCCTTGGGGGTTTGAGAAAGGAAGTCTGCTCTCACCAGCCTTAACCCCCAACACCTTCCCTGAGCTCTCAGCTCTCAGACCCCCCTCCCAAGCCCTCTATCCCACACCCGACAGCCTTGGGCCAGGTCTGCCCAGCCCCCACCCACAAGGAGGCAAGAGGCAGCAGCGTCAGCTCCTGGAGGAGGGACCAGGAGGTCACCACCCCTGGGGGGGCTGCAGGAGAAGCAGGAAGCAGCCTCTGCCCCTTGGGAGGGCTCTCAGTTGCCTGGGAAGATTCAGCTGACACACAGGAAAAGTCTTGTCTCCCAGACCGTGAACTTGAATGCAGGCTGTGTTTTCATCTCCTGGGCCTGGCACAGCAGAGATGCTAGATAAAAATCCAAAGAATAAATAAATACCACTCTTAGAAAGCAAGACCAGTACACAGGGCCAAGAGTGAGCTGTGTGAACTGAGACGTAAGTGCAGAGTGGAGAGGACGGCATGGGCAAGGCCTTTCCAGGGAGGCAGTGCTGCAAGATACAGTGATGGGCTCTCGAGTCACACTGTCTCCTAACAGTGTGAGACCTTGGGCAAGTCACTCAGCCTTTCTGAACCGCGGTCACCTCTAATTTAAAATAAGGTGAACATGAGGCCTGTCTTGCAAAGCAAGTACCAGGAGGAGAAGGATGTACGCCATCATGATGGGGATGTGGGAGTGCTCAGGACACAGTGACCGTCAGGCCATCGGAAGAACAAATGGAAGGAGGGAGGGAGGACTGGGCCAAGATGAGCTATGAGTCTTGAAAGAGTAGGGGCAGAGAAGGAAAGAGGAAGGAAGGTGAATGAATGAGGGCAATCTCAGGATGCAGAGGGCAAAGGAAAGGGAGGTAGAAGCAACCCAGGGGTCCTGCCGGGTCCTGAGCCTCATGGCCCCTGGTGAGCTCAGGCTGAGTGGGAGCCAGAGAGGGTGGGGGCTGTGGGGCCACAGGAACTGTAAGAAGAGAAGGTGCATCTGTGGTCGGGGGTGGGGGGTGGTCTCTAGGAAGAGAGACCCCCCTCCCCCTTTCACTTCATTTGAATTGAGAGTGGTGAACGAGCTGTTCAACCAGTCAAAACCAGAATCATTGTGGAATGTGGCCCTTGAGAAAGGTTCTCCCCACTCCCCATCCCCTAGAGAGAGGACATTGGCTATTACCGATTCACCCCAAACCTGCGCTAGGGAAGCTGCTGAGGAGAGGGGGGATAAGGTCCAACCAGAGGTGATGCTGGGCTGGACCCGGGTGTCCTTGGTGGGCTGCAGGCCGGGTGCAGCGGGCTACGGGGTAGGGGAGCCATGTCTGGGGTTTTGCTTTGTGCTCTACACTCAGGGATAGCCTTGTCACCGAAGAGCTGAGCAACTGAGTCAGCTCGCCCTGGCGTGCTCGCTCTATGAGCGATGGGGTGTCAGGAATGGGGGTACGGAGGCCGCGGTTCCTTCCCAGCCAGACGGTCCCGGTCTCGCAGCCCCAGAACGACCCCTGCTGGCCGCTGCGGGAACCTCACCCGGGAAGCCAGGCCCGTGCTGCGGGCGAAGGTGCCATCCTCCCTGGCTTTCTCCGGGGCCGCTTTCGTCCCTCGCTTCTAAGAGTGTGGCTCCATCACGACGCCTGAGGCACAGAGGAAAACGTGCGCCCCATACATACTCATGAAAATATCCTCCCGTAGTCTGAACCAAGAGGAAAAAAATAAATGCTCTATTTTTTTAAAGACTATACATAAAGCCCCCCATTTCCCAAGCTGTTGGCTCGCCTTTGTCAACAACTATAACCTCAGTTGGGGACACAAGAGCCACGCGGAGTCATTAAAACAAACAACAGCCTGCCTTTGTTTAAAATTTAATTTTTTTGTTCATCATGGATATTTTTGTTTTAATACATATTTTTTTTAAAAATATTGTATTTAAATATTATTTCTCTTGACTTCTGTCCCCCTTAAATTTTGTGCCCCAAGCAAGTGCCTCACTCACTTCACCCTATTCCCAGCCTTTTCCTAGTGGATCCTGTTTGAGGGACCCATATTTGACAGCAAGAAAGCCCCCTGTCCACTTCTACCACGGCAGTGGGTTTCCCGGTGGCTCATTTGATACCTTTGGTAAAAGAACTTACCACACCAGGGTAAGAGTTTGGACTTTGGCAGTCCCTCATGGTTGGAGACACTGGATCAGAAGCTTTTGGTGGAAGGAACAGAGGCCCATTCAGGCTCCCAAAGGGCGGGGGGCTGTACAGTAAAGTTCGTGCTTGGAAATAAGGGAGTCAGGCCTCTGGGAACCAGGAAGAATCATGAGGCACAGCTTGCTGGAAGGAGGGACTCCAGCGCCACTGCCCAGGAGCCTGGGAACTGGATGCTGGACTGGCAGAGTGCAGCTCCAGGCCAGACAATCTCCTGACCCTCAGCGGTGGGGCTGGGCCCCCCACCACAGCACGCACAGACCCTGGGACTCCGCTCCTCTCAGCCCAGCTTCTCAGCCTTCCACCTCTTCCCACCACTGAGTGACCAGCTCTGGAACTCCGCAGCACA